CCGAAATTGCACTTTTAATAGTCTTTTATTAAATAGCACATCTACAGTGCGCAACGCTTCTGTGTAGTGCCTACCACATTGTACATACCACATAGCATGGAGAAGTTCTGCCTATGCAGCGTATATAGCACATACTATGTCCCCACACATATGCCATAGTCGTATACTCTCGTCATGAAACAATTACTTGGCATGCAGCATAGCGTGCACACTCTTCTACTTCAACATTGTGATTTTTTTTTTTTTTTTTAACATTGTGATTTTCTCATGGACCTGTTTCCTTCTTTTTTTCCTTTTTTTTATTGCCAGAATCTTTTCGTTTCTCTCCCACAACATTGGACGCACCCACATTTCCCGTAACCCTCCACTCCGCCTCCTCCCCCACCGGCCTTTAACCCTCCACCTGCCTCTTCCCCCTTGACCACCCAAATTTCCTGCAGCCTCAGACACTTCCCCTCCAACATTACCATGTATTACGTCACACAGGGAACGGAAGATTGGCAAATCATCATCACGGGGATAAGCAATCAATTAGCTGCGGTTGGCCAGCTATGTGTGTGTATATATATATATATCGTTTGTTGTCCTGTTCTCCCTTTCTCCGTCTCTGCCTACACGGTTCACTGGGCAGGAGCTCTGTTTGACTATATATACAGTCAAACAGAGGTCCCCGGTAAACCGTAGGCAGAGAGGGAGGGAGAAAGGGAGAAGAGGACAACAAACGAGGAGGGGATGTGACAAACTGTTTCTTTGGAGCTGCAACAACAACCGTAAGCAGAGAGGGAGAAGAGGAAAACAAACAAGGGGCTGTGACAGACTTTTTTTTTTTTTTTTTTTTTTTAAATTTCATTTTATTTTATTATTTTAAAGACCAGACTGGTTTGTGGGTGTTTCGCCGAGTACTTACAACAACGTATTCGATATCAATCTGACTGGCTCGCAGCAGAGATCTTTTCTTTTCCCTTCTCTCAATTCACTTTCCACTACCTACCAGTAGTCCTAAAAGGCTATACAGGTGACCCCTGCAAGCATTGGTACCGTGCCATGAAGCGATTGCACGTTACCCCTCGCCCCAGTGGTTTAGGGTGCAGTGTTGGGTCCGTCGCTGGGGGCCCCTGCTAACACAATCGCCGAGCATTTGCCAGTCGTTGTGCTTCCCTCCCTTTTCATCTTCCCCCCACACGCCCCATCGTGCACCAGCAATGTCTGAGAAGGCCAACACTCTCCCACGCACCACAAACAACCCACTCACATTAAAAAAAAAAAAAAACAAAAAAAAAACTCCACTCGCATTCACAAACTGGTTGGAGAGAAAACTTTTGCGTGCCTCAAACGTGGAGTCCGGATGTGAATTGCTCGATGTATTGCTTACTTTTTTTTAATTATTTCTTTATTTTTTAATGTAGTGGTTACCTAGAAAAGAAATTTAATAGATCCATTCCAGATTTGGTAAAAAGAGGGAACAGCTTATGCGGGTGGGAGGGAGATAAAGCCGTCCGTCCAAAGGTCTCTGCAGTCGGCAGCCACAGGGAGAATGGGCTCTCTGCAAAACATGACGGTCGGATTCAATTTGATCGTCCGAAAGAATGTGAGCTCGGCCAGTTGGAACAAAAGCATTCCACCAAAGGGTGTTTGTGGTGGTTTGAAGAAAGGCTGCCAGGCGGTGGCTAGAGAAAACGTTTTTCTTTTTTTTTTTTTAAGTTAGTTTTTGAAAACCAGCACAGGACTTTCACGCCTCTTTTTCACGTGGCTGGAACAACCCTGTGTGCCCCAAAAAAAGGCGATCCGGCGTGGGCCAAGCAGCAGGGAGCGTACACGGTTTGACGTAGAGGCGGCGCATACCGTGGACCTCGTGCTGTGAAGGGTTGTCGTTGAGGAATGAGTGAGTGTGTGATCAGGTGCCGTCACGGTTTGACGTAGAGGCGCATACCATGGACCTCGTGCTGTGAAGCGTTGCTGTTAAGGAGAGGGCGAGTGTGTGATCAGGTGTCGTCTGCCCACCAAACTGGATTTCATTTCTTCGGTGGATGTCATTCCCTTTATAAGATATCGAGGAATGATGATGGACGATGGGATGCACCCATGTTCTCCTCCTTTCGTTCTTGTTGTTTTTCCCCCCTTTCTTTCCTCAACATCCTCTTCACATTGTTTCCTACCCCTAGAGGAATGAGGAATGATAATGGGGTGCACACACATTCTTTCCGTAACTTCTTCCCCTTTTCGTAGCGCTCGTTGTTTCA